AAGTTCTAACCCTTGTGGCTTAGCATCACTATACTGTACTGTACCGTACCCCTGTGCAGTACAGTGAGTGCATAGTACACCAAGCTGTGGATCTTCAACAGTATTTATACAAATGATTTACTGCGAATATTGTTTTAAACCAACCTGCTGTCGAGGCCGCGATGCTTCGATTTTGCAGCGGCATCTAGCGGTCCGACTCCTGCGATTCCCTCGAAAAACACCGAATTGAGAACTAATTACAGTACCAGCAATGAGTTAGAAAAAAAGTTAGGCAAATCAAAGTAAAACAATTTATTGACATCCGGACAGGTTTATTCATTCATTTTTATTGGAACTATATAACCGTGGAATCATTTCGGGAACCTCAATGAAACGCTTGAACTTTGGCCAGAAGCGCCGATTGATGATGCACCTGCGGTTTCAGCGCACGAGGTGAAGAAGCACGATTTCGGACAGTGGGTCTTCATGAACGTGTAGTTTGAATAACAGTAGCCATCTCTGGCGAATTTTTCGCACTGATGCTTAAAAAATGGCGAATCCGTGCACTTAATGGGCTCGGCTGCTGACGATGACGGAGAAACCTGGAGTCTGCGATGAGTATGATGCTGATGATGAGGAGGAGGATCATAAGGTGGAAAAGACCCGCCGTAACCTCCTCGACACGGGCCTTCATGTGCCAGGGATAAACCTTTAAAAAAAAATACAGTATAAAAATATCGGTACAGTATCAACTTCTTAATTTTGAAAATAAACAAGATGTGACTCACCAAAAGCGCCGAAGAGGCCAAATCCGACTCCTGAGCCCGCAACCCCACCTATCCCCCCGATGCCAATGCCAGGGTCCGGAAGCTTGCCTCCGAGGTCATACAGGTCGCCACAACGCGGTACATCGCAGAAGTCGAAATTGTACGGCTCTTGCGGAGAGCCCGTGAAGCACCAAGGACCTCTTCTGTCGCGATCCGGATTCCGACAGAAGTTCTCGGCAGCACCAATGGATTGCTGATGAATTCAAACATTTTGCTTCCCTCATCGAAGTTTCGTCTGTTTATTTCGCGGACAAATATCAACGTCTTACCTCTGGGAAGTTGTAGTCCTGAATTGGGCTGTAGGGGTGCTCGGGAGTTATCGGATAGGTGTCCCGGTGGGTGGCCCACCTGGCACAGCGCCTGCCAGTGCGCGTGAATTCCACGTGGCCTGCGTAATCACTGCCGTCGGGCAGAGCCCCGCAACCCAGCTTTGCTCCGGGACCCAATTCCTGATGGTACTCAATAGCACGATTCTCGAATTCATCTTCAACCTGGTCTGCATCTGAAGACCTTCTCATTCCTGAAATATTACCGAAATCAAGAGCAATTGAAATTGTTCTTTTAAATATAAAGTACTGTACATGGGATTCATCTACAGAATTTATTCTCGACGAACTTTTCCTCAATCATCAACTCCCTCAAGCCTGCTTTCTTTACACGGTCAACTGTGATGGAAGTGTAATCTGATTGCATTAAACTTCGAAAAAAATGTATACGATATATACAGTATATGTTTCTCATGTATATACCGTGTTTGTAAATCACTATACTTTTCAATGGGATATGAACTATGAACAGGCTTAAACTATGAAGAAGTGTATTTCATATTTTGAAAATTTTCTCATCTATGCCACCAATAGCTTCTTTCCAATAAATTTTCAAGTCCAATGGTAAAAAATTTGAAAGTAGAATGTTGTTTCAACAAACTTCGTTTTTTCGAATTGATATTTGCAACGAATTCCCCCCCCCCCCCTGTTCAATAGCGTATTTCATATTGTGAAATTTCTCTAATTAATTTATTGAAACATGTTATGTTATTTAAAATTTTATCCAGTGTTTTGTCTGCGATGATATTTTGATTTCGTTTTGACGCATTTCATTTGCAACGATGCTTTTCTCAGGTCCCAAACGCTTAGTTGTGACGAGGAGAATCTACTGTATATAGTAATTAGTAACACCCTTTAGAATTTATTGTCATCCTTTTCCGAAAAAAAATTAGTCCAAAATGATTTGAAAACTGTTCGAGTTTCATCATAGAGCTGTCTTTCAAAAGTATGCAAGGGAATTCGCAGCAATGAGATTTTACTGTGAACCAGTTCAGTATATGAAAAAAGTAACTCAAAGCAGGGAAATTAAAGCCGAGGGACTTGCCAATCGAACCAGCAGACAGCAGCGATTTCCGACGGCAGTGCAAAAAGCAACGACTCGGATAAGTCATGCCGTCTGTGCCGCAAACCGGGACATAATTTCGTTCACAATTGCATCCGAACGGAAATTGGCGAAATCGACCGCCGCTGTCCAGCACAGCAGAGAAGAGTTTTGCCAAAAAGCCGCCATCGAGTTTCCGCGCGGAAATTTCCACTTCTTCTCTGCTGTTCTGACGATGATTCGTCGATGATGAAATTGATGTCGATGACGATGATGGAATATGTGAAATTGCGATAATGATCGGCGATAGGAAAATGAACTGCGAGATTGCCAAAACTAGACACAGTTTGAACGACGAATCACACATAACTTTATTTTGCGCTGCTGCTCCTGAACACTTGAGGGAAAATTTGGCAAAACTCTGAATTTTTGGATAACACGCAAAATATATACAGTGCATTCAATCACGATTTCCCAAATTAGACACACTTTTACGAAGTGGAATTATGCACGCATTCATTTACGTTTTGATTTCCGTTCTGTGCAGGAAAATGTGTCACCCGTCGCAAAAAAAAGAATTCCTAGGAAAAAGCTGTTGATTACAAACTTGTTTCTTATGAATAATATTTTGGTGTGATTTGATTTGATAACTTTTCAAGGATCCGTTGAAAATCAGTAGGATTATGGAAGAAGTGCGGAAATGAAATGAACCTGCCAATAATGTTCGTAGTATTCCTTTTTGAAACCATACCCATGTACGATTCCGTCCATCTTCATTGCTTGGAATTTTCCTTGAAAACCTTTTTAAAATATTTATTTTACGGTTGACCTTGTATCAAACTTTTCAAAAGGTTCAATTCATGTTGTTTGAGGCTCTAGGATTTTTTTTTATTAAAGAAAGGTTATTCAATTTACCAATATACGTGAAAACCCTTCTGATTCAAGTCATCGGAGCTTTCCTTGATGCCACAGGGTGCTTGAAAGTTTTCAGGCTAACTGAAGTATTGAATTTTTTTTCGCTTCAATCATAATGTAGAAGAAAAAAGTTTAAAACAGATAATTTAATTTTCTGAGCTGACTTCATCATCATGCAGAAAATTTGAAAAATGATTTAAAAATTAGGAAAAGAAATCCCAGAACCTTTGAACATCATGGGATATGTCAGTACAGTATTTACCTTTACAATCACACCTACTCGAAAAATATCAGCGGTCGTGTCCAAATGGAACAACCCTTGCATAATGTTTGTGACATTTCTGCAGCCAGTACCATGCATAGTTCCAGCCATCGTCTTAATTGTTCGAAACTTGTTGATAACTTCGTGAAATATTTTTCCCAGCAAATGAAGAATTACTTCTTTCCTTTTTTTTCTTTGCAACTCGAAGCAGCAGAACTTAGTTTGAAGCGGACACCAGAGAGACTAACCCAGGAGGCACTGAAATCCGTTTGGTTTCTTGACAGCTCCTCGTCCAAGACAGGAAGAAGGAATGAGTCATTTCCGTCCAGAACACCGAAAAAAACCCCGGGTAAACACACTATACGTATACAGTATATACGCAATCGGCGCATTCTTTTCTTCTCTTCTTTGAAATTAATTGGCTGTCGAATTTCAAAACAGAAATTCACAAAAGCGTGGACAAATATTGTTCTGTATGCGGAGCCTCGCTCCACACGACATGAGGAAACACACGCCCCGGACACTCGGAGACATTAGCTTAATTGAATCACTTTCACGCCAGTTGGTCACCGAAATATATTTTTCTCCGGGCTTTTTGTTGTTGCCAGAGTTGTGTCAACCTCGACAAATTACTTTTTTTTATGCGTTCATCGACTCTTTGTCTGCCTGGAAAAAATATGCGGAGATCCAGGTTGGCAGTGACACTGAATTAAATGTCTCTGCATTTACTCGTAAGTGAAAAAAAAATACACAAATTAGGTTCGGACAGTGGCATTCAGAATACGGAAGTGTATGAATCACTCCTCCTTATCTTCGTACCGCAAAATTAAGATAAAGCGGAATCTGAAACACCGATCATCCAAATGCAAGTTCCAACCATGACTCAAAACAGAGTGAACTTTGGTCAGATACAAATTCATATTGCCTCAAATTGTCTGAATCTGAATTGACGTCCAGAACAAAGTTTGATGCAGCATTCAAAAATGATCATAAAAATGTGGAATGAAGTTTGGAGCAATACCAAGCAAGCGAAATGACTACTATTTGAGTATCTACCGTTTTGTTTCAATGGGGCTTTTCAGGAAGGGGGTTCTCTATCTGCCATGAAAAATTCAGAACTGAGAGTTTGAGTAGACCAGTTTTGTTGTTGTGCACACCAGCCTCAAGTGTTGACAGATTCAACTTCGGTCGAAAATGTTGCTGACGGCAGCTTTTGGCCTGTTGGAGGCGCATGAAGTGTTTCGATTTTCCCTGTTCCTGCATATTTGGATGTCTCAACTACTATGTTGACATTTTTCAAGTGCCGGTGTTATCCAAATGAACGCAGAGTGTTTGTCACCATATATGGCAAAAGAATGCCGACAGAGCTGTGGAGATAAATGCATTTGTCATGACCTGTCGGATCTTGGTTATAAAAATGAAATTTGATTGCATTCATCCAGATTCTCGGTGTCCGCATCAACCTTCGCATCTCCGTACGTATATTGCGTGTGTTGAAGTCATTTTCCTTGCCCCGGAATCTGATTTAATCGAGGCTTGTCGAATGATTTGTTTCTTGCAGAAGCTTTCGTGTTCCTTGTGATACTTTTTTTTTGGTGCTTGATACGTGCATTTGTTTTTTTTTCTTCCGAAAGAGAAGTTCTACGAAAATGGTTAGTGTTCTAATTTTTTCTTCCATACTTGTGACGAATATTGAGTTGTTCCTTGTGTTTTAGTCTTCCGGGGTTACTGTCGCTGATGCATGCAAAACTACTTTTGAAGAAATCAAGAAAGACAAGAAGCATCGTTACGTCATCTACTTCATCAAGGATGAGAAGCAGATCGAGGTGGAGTCCATTGGTGAGTTCATTTTCGTACAGTATATGAATTGGTGACTGAATGTAATAGTGAATCTATTATACGAGGATTGTCCCAGTAGAACGCGACCTCTGATATTTTTACGGTCAGTCTGATACTTGAAAAAAATCACAAGTTAGCCCATGATTTTTCAAGGTTCTGGGATTTTTTTCGCATTAATCAACACCCATTTTTAAAAACGTTTTTGAATTTACTGCATGATATCAAGGGAGAACTTTCCAGTTACAGCCAGAGTTCTCCACGCATGGTACATTCGGTGCTAAAAATGTGTTGGGAATACTGGAAATTGAATTGTTGTGTTGTTCTTCCAATCATCTTCTCGAAAATTTAGATACAGTAATGGTTCGAACTGCAAAATGTTCCACGTTTCACCGAGCCTGACACATCTGAATTTACTGCATCATGCAGTAAATTCAAAAACGTTTTTAAAACTGAGGAAATAAGCCCAAAACCTTGGAACTTCCTGGGCTATGTTCTGATTTTTTTTTAACGAGTCAGACTTACTTTAAAAATATCAGAGGTCCGTTTCGACAGGGACAGCCCTCGCGCAGTGAAGCTGTGTCATCCGAAGTAAAGTTGAAGTCCGATAATACAGTACATTTGGTAATGTTTGTGTACGTCTAATTTTACTAGGTGACCGGGAACGTTCCTATGAGGACTTCATTACTGATCTGCAAAAAGAAGGGCCGTCAGAATGTCGTTACGGTGTGTTTGACTTCGAGTACACGCACCAGTGTCAAGGGACCACTGAGGTAACTTTGCATTCCGCTCACTGAGCCATTTATTAATTAGGAAGAAAGCAGCTGTGATTCGCTTGTTATTCATGCGAATGCTATGAGTAATGATATCATGGACATGACGAGAGGTCTAGCGAAAGTTCTCGGAGTAAAAGTTGAAGTGGCATATGATTGAGCTGAAGAACAAATACTATAATGTTTAGGAAAAGCATTCCTCGGCGCAAGATAAAGGAATGCATTCTTTTTCAACATATTCTGCAGAAAATGTTCACCATGGCGGCTTTCTTCCTTCAACTCAAAAGATGAGGCGCCCATCTCGCAGATTTTATTTATTTATTTTTTTTAAACAGGCTGCTTTTTCAGAGTTTGTGAAATCAACGCTGCATTACATGTAATGCCAAGGGTTGCCTTGAGATCTTCCAAGGTAATTCTGCCATTTTCATCAACAGCCGCCACTTCGGATGAGAATGTGGTGGCTGCTAAATAAATCGGCGGAATGACAGTGTAAGATCTTAAGGCAACCTTTGAAATCACTGCCGCGTCGAATTCAAGAATTATGATGAAGAAGCTGGACTGCACCAAAAAAATCTGCGAGATGCACCCCATCTTCTAAGTAGAGAGCAGAAAGCCGCCAGGGTGACTTGCGAAAAATTTCAGCAAAATAGGTCAAACATGGCTGAATATTTTTCTTGTATCAAAATGCTTCTTCTGAACAAAGATTTTCTTTCAGCTCTTTTAAATGCCGTTCCAATTTCTATTGCGAGAAATTTTGTTGGACCCCTTCCATAGGGAGCTGTTTTTCCTCGGTTCCACATTTTATTTTTCGTATATCATGATATGGATGGTTTTCAATTTTCTTGAAGGCGTCGAAGAAACAAAAGCTGTTTCTGATGTCTTGGTGTCCTGATACCGCCAAGATCAAGAAGAAGATGTTGTATTCGTCCTCTTTCGACGCCTTGAAGAAGTCTCTGGTTGGAATCCAGAAGTATATACAGGTGCCGTCCCGATCTTTTATCTGGTTTTATTGTACAGTATTTTGCACAGTTTCAATCGCGTTCCGTGTGATATTCACCTGCTCGGAATGAGTATTTCGATTCCCCGTAGATCTCCGTTACAACGAATCTCCTTCATGTGTGAAGCAATTTTTCACTAGGTGATTTGTTGTAACGGTTTTTCATTTTTTTTTCTTGATGTATTAAGATAGAAACCGTGTAGGAAAAATTTTCTTATATCTAACCAATTTTTCTCTGTAATCTCAGTATAACGATTTTTCCTTAATTATGTGTGCAATTGACATGGAAAAAGTTCACTCATTGGCAAAAGGAAGGAAAACTCAATTCGCGCGTAATTGGGAAACCTTCAAAAGATTGAAATGCTGATATTTTTGTGTAGAAAATTTACTACTGTATTGCCGGAAGTATGATGCCAATAATAAATAATAAAGCCCTATTCAATAAAGCCCTATCTCGCTTTATTGAATGATTTTGAAATAGCTGGACATATTAGAGAAAAATTCGCCATTGAGGAACTGATTTAACATTGTGGCTATAGGACAGGGACCTGAAGACGACTTTGTTTTAAGAAATAACTGCATTTGTTGAAACGAGATTTGTTGTAACAAGATGATACTGTATATTAATTGTTTCTTCATGGGACTCTTGCCCATGTTAAAGGGAACTCTACAATGAAGTGTTTGTTGGTCTGTTGAATTTCGTTGGAGAGAGAGAGAGAGAGTGTCCACCGGTGTACACGTGAACTCTCTCTGCAATGATCTTGTGTATGAAAATTTTTGGTGTAATACACATTTATTTTTGGTCTCCCTTAGGGTTTTCACACAATGTTATAGGGGTTCTCCACGACAAAATTCTCGTTACACAAATGTTTTCCTTAACCCTTCGAAGTTCATTGTAAAGAGAGAGAGAGAGAGTCCACCTGTGTGCAGGTTCTCTCTCTCTACAAGGGGTTCTTTTACTATGTTGCTGGGGTTCTCCGCAACAAAATCATCTCTAAAGCTACTGAGATTGTTTACTGGTCCTTCGAATTTTTGTAGAAAGAGATAGTTCACCTGTATTCTCCGTCTCTTTCGCAGGCAACTGACCTATCTGAAGCTTCGGAATCTGCTGTGGAAGAGAAGCTCCGAGCAACCGATAGGAACTGAGGAATCTAAATGACGGAAGTGACGGTGTGCACCTAATGCCGCTTACATCTGAAGGCTGGGGATCACCTCCGCGGATCGGCTTTTCTCTCGAGTTTCATTTGTTCTTTTTCTTTCTGCTGAGGAATGGCTCAGCGTGTCGAGGTTGCCGTATGCTGGGGCATCCTCAGTTTTCCGCGGGACTTGTCCTGTTCAAGTACACCTCGGCAAGTCGTCGTACGTTTGTGGATTTCCTCTTCTTTTTTTTTTTTTTTTGCGGAATTGGATGATGTCTATTTTGTTCCGAAAGTACGCGTAACTTGTAGCTTTCCGCATGTGCGCTGAGAGAATTGTTCTTTTTTTTCTGGTTTCCATTCAATAGCTTTGCGCTGAACGGGAGACTAATTTAGCGACCAATATTCGACGTTTTTCGGACAATGTATGAATGGATGCATCGCTTTATCGTAAAACGTTTACAATGAGCGTCGTGAGGTTCTTGTGGTGGTATTTGATAATAATTTATTCACTTGTCAATGGGCTTTGAACGCTTTTGCGTGGGTATCTGTGTAGAGATCACTGGGCTGTTCCTACCGTAACTTAGCATTCTTCCGAATTTTGCGACCGAACATGTTTCGACCGTGATTTGAGTCCACTTTTTTGTTTCGCTGAAGGAACCGCTGTCGATGTAATTCCCGAGAATGTTGTCAAATTGCGGATGGAAGTGACGGTTTGCGGGGGTTTTTCCTCGGCGATATCCGTTCGCTCGTGTTTCGAAGAGATCCAAATGGAATTGAGCGTTCCGTGATTCACGTTTGGCCCTTTTGTGTATCTTCAATTTTTCTGCAGCAAGAGTCGCCGACGAAATCTCACCCATTTTTATTTTATTCCATTTCCTATGCAGGTCTTCAGAATCGGTGATAATATTCCGCCTTGTGTGAACAGTTGAATTGTGTCTTGGATTTTGAGTGAGTTGATCGGCAGAGATTCTCAATCAACTAGTCAAACATGGTGAGTGAACCGAGGGATCGACGTAACGTGTGAATGATTGATGAGAATTCGTTTTGCTTTAGTCGTCCGGCGTAACTGTGGCAGATGTCTGCAAGACGCTCTTCGAAGAAATCAAAAAGGACAAGAAGCACCGTTACGTCATCTTCTACATCAAGGACGAAAAACAGATCGAAGTGGAAACCATTGGTGAGTGTTCGATTGATACAATGATTTTGGCTCAGTTTTGAGCTCCTTTTTGAGAGGCTTTTCCGAATTATGGACTGGATTTTCCATTGCAGGTGATCGAGATAGGTCTTATGAAGATTTCATCAATGATTTGCAGAAAGATGGACCATCTGAGTGTCGGTACGGTGTGTTCGACTTCGAGTACACGCATCAGTGCCAAGGCACGAGCGAGGTAATCTCTTCGTTTTCTCGAAAGCGAGCATACTTAGCATTTTACGAAGCGTCAGTGAGGCCCCGAGATGCGCACGTAATCGGTGCTTGGACCCTTTTTCATGTGTAGGAACATTCGCATGTTGAATCACGTTATTTTTTTATTTCAATGGGAATATTGTATATGTAATTGGTTTTCGTTCGGATCGAAAATTGGGAAAAGTCTTCCCCCCCCCCCCCCAAATAATTTTTCATCTTCGAGATGCAAGAAAGAATAGTGCAGGAGGAAAGAAGAGGGAATCTTATAATTCGGCTTGAAAATAAGAACGAAAAAGCTAAGAGAAAGCACAAGCCTTCCTATAATGTACTCAGATGATGGAAAGAACTGTGAAAAAAGCAGCACAAAATTTGTCTGCCTTTGATTTACGATTCGAGGGAATTTATGATGGCTTTTTTATTTTTGTGAGATGAAGTCTTCACACTTGTCTATAAATCTTGGTGAAGTGTCTGTATCTCGAGAAATTGCGGATGCTGAGGCAGATTTTTTGAGGCATCGTGTCCTTACGTCGAAACGCCCCTATGTCGGGATCTCGCTGTAATCTGAAGTCCATTCGAGAATGTTTCTGTGATGTACACGGGTCTCCACTTGAAGTGTTCGAAAGGTTGAACTTCTGGGTGCGTCTTTCCTCCGATACACATTTTTGAAGAGAAAGACTGGGTCATGTGGAAAATTTAGTATCGAATGGGATTGTATATTGTGTTAAACAAGCAAAACAAATCACGCAATCCTTGTGAGACTCAAGGCTAATGAAGACTCATTTTCAAGCCCCAGAAATTTGCCTGATCAATTTTACCAAAAAATGTGTTGGGAGGAAACGTGGAGATCAACGCTATGCAATGGCAACCGCCGGAAGAGTTCAGAATCTTTTACTCTATTGTAAAAAAATATATTTAAAAATTCCATAAAATCAGTAGATGTAAGAAAGATACTGTGCAAAACGAGAAAAATAATTTCCGTTTTTCAAGTCGCGTGTCAAGTTTTCAGTTCGCTGTGAAATGAGAAGACAACTGAGAAAACGTTAGGAAAATCCGGACACCGGTATAATCTCCAAATTTGAAATGGTGACCAGACGTTATGGTACACTTTCAAACTCAACGCAACTCACTTCCACGCTGCCCCTCCAGAGGGCTGTTCCCTACCACTCCATCGCTCAATGCCAAAAATGAGTGACTTCATGAACTGCGCATGCTTGCAGATACGAATTACATGTTGAAGAATTGTGTAGGAGTAGGAAGATAACATAATATTCAATACAGTANAATTACATGTTGAAGAATTGTGTAGGAGTAGGAAGATAACATAATATTCAATACAGTACTTTCCTGTTATCTCTGTACCTCATTCCTAGACTGCACTACCATCCAGACAAATTTTTAGGACAAGTTCGTAATCACAAGAACCTACCATTCAGAAACTGTGAATTTTATTTTCTGCATAAACTGACCTAACCTAACTTTACCTAACCACCTCCCAAGTATCAAATATCTTTTAATTTACATAACCTGACCTGAACTAACTTCACCTAACCACCTCCCAAATATATTTTAATTAACATAACCTGACCTAACTTAACTTTACCTAACCACCTCCTAAATATCAAATATCTTTAATTAACATAAACTGACCAAACCTAACTTTACCTAACCACCTCCCAAAATCAGTTTTAGCAGAATGCAGTAAAATAAAATTCACATCTGTTGTGTTTATGAATTTGTCCTAAAGATTTGTCTGGATGGTTTAGTGTGGTTTAGGAATGAGGTACAGAGATAACAGGAAAGTACTATATATTTTATTTATCTAAAAAAGGCGTTTTTATGTGTGCACTATGTTATTTGTCCCTTGGAGTCTCTGTTTACATTTTACACCGCCGAAGCATTGCAGTCAAAGTCACTCAATGAGAGGCTGGTGCTCCAAGGGGTGGCGTGGAAGAGGTAGCGTTGAATGGAGCTGCATTGAGTGGAAGTTTTACCATAGTGTCGTGTCACAATTTGAAATACTCCTGTCAAGTCTCGCATGGGACGAACACAAATTCCTACAATCATTACTTTAAAAAAATAGGTCAACGTTTGTGCATCTCGAGTAACGGGAACTCGAGCCGAAACTTGTGAATATTTCCATTTATTTTTATTCATAAATACAGTATCGTGTTTCGTGTGTAGGCCTCCAAGAAACAGAAGCTCTTTCTAATGTCTTGGTGCCCCGACACTGCAAAAATCAAGAAGAAAATGCTGTATTCATCATCATTCGATGCTCTGAAGAAATCACTCGTTGGTATTCAAAAGTATATCCAGGTCAGTTCGAGCTACTAAGTGTACTCGTAGCGTGATTCAATCGAACTAGTCTGGTCGCAACTTTTTGTTCCAAAGGCGACTGACTTGTCTGAGGCTTCCGAGTCCGCTGTGGAGGAGAAGCTGCGTGCCACGGACAGGCAATGAAGTTTTGTGGGAGCCAACCCACTGCTGTGTGTATCGACAAGGCTGAAGATATCTTCCGCTCCACAAATTTCACGGATCGCTGCACAATTTACGCCCTGCTTCTCGATTCCTTTTTTCCACTCCGCAAAAGTCGGCATTCCTATAAACTGCGTGTCGAAGTGATGTGCATGCCAGGAAGCGCTGCATTTTTTTTTAGGCGTTTGAGTTATGTATTTTTTCCTGAATCGCTTCATCGATCAGCTTGTCTTTGGCAGTAAACGCCTTCGATTTTTTGCGCAATGCTGGAACCATCTGCCATTCCGGTTTTATTTTTCTTCTTTTCGATGTTGATAAGTGCTGTACTTCGTGCTCAGCCTGGGCTTGTCGAGAAATTACGTACTATATGCGCCTTCTCACGCTTTGGCTGTCCGAGTGTTGCGATCATGCGTGATGTTTGTCTTCTGTGAACAAGTCACGATGTGATCGTCGGATTCTCCTGTCAGTTTCTATGTTCACGTTCAAATATATCAACATGATTGTGATGCCTGGGGTTGAGTTTCATGTTCTGGTGAGAAAAGGAAACTAATGTCTAATGTTTTGTGAATATGGCTATATCTTGTTACAGCAAACGTTTGGGGACTTGAGAAAAGTTTGTCAAACTCAATGATTTGTAAAACAGTAATGATATTTTCAAAATTAAAGAATTAAAAAGATTTTCCCATCAGAGCTGCCAGTAACCAATTACATTTTGCTCTTCTTGCATTCTCAGATTTTTTTATTGTTGCTGTGAAGGCAGAGTGGTCTTCTAAGAAAGGAAAATCGTACATTCCATGTACGACAACAATGTCTCTTCATTCTGGGAGAAGGATGACTGGAACGACTTGGATCATGATGATCATTGATCATGACTTCCAAGCATGTGGCAAGAACCGGTGAGTCATATTTGCAATCGGAAATTTCAGACTGTCTGTCTTACCTGTGAAATTTCTTCCCGGAGAATCAATCTCTTGTCAAGAAGTTTTCATGCAGTGCTGGAATGGGGAAGTTTGTTACAATAAGGTTGGTTTTAAGTTTACTTGATGGGCTTTCTGCTGCTTGTGAGTTGAGAAAATTTTTTTATATTGAAAAACTTGTGGCAAAATGTTACTGAACTTGAGAGATTGTTGTGCTGTGAGGTGATGCCCATTGCATGCTGGTACAGATCTCATGACCCTCTTGATTGGTATGTTGCAAGTATTTGTCAGCATTCCACCTAGGAATTTGGGTATCAGAAGATTCACAATTCAGTTGATGCACTGTTGGACTCATCACAAGTATGCTCTTGAACAGTTGCTGAAGGTATAGCTGAAAATTTTATGATCTAGGATGTCTGCCTAGCAAATTGATGCATCAGTTGACTGGTCAGTTCTGAGGAAAATGTGTAGGCCAAACAAACTAAGGTTCAATCTGTCAGTTGATAGTCAGCTGATGGGCTTGTTGATAACTTGGAGTGAGGCATGCATGCAGGGCCCATGTAAGGGTGCTATGCACCCATGTGAAAAGAACACAATTTTGGGCCCCTCCCAAAATACAGTAAAATCTTGTTACAAGAAACTCCTGGGGACCTGTTGAAAATTCTTTATACTGAAAAGTTTGTTGTATTGAGATTCTTGGTTCTGAACACATTTTGTGTGAAATGGGCACTATTTACCTTAAATTGCGTCTGAAACAAATCTGTTGTTGGAAATTAGTTAATTTGATGTTTTACAATTTCCGATTCAGGCGTCTTCAAATCTTAGATTGTTTTAGACTTACCATTGTAAGCTTCTTTTAACTGATCCAACAATTACCTAGTGAGGAGATTTTCTTGTTTCCTGTTTCCAGGCTTGGTAAATCAGCTCCTCAATTACATAAGTATATGTGAGTTTTATTCCTTATTTGACAGCAGAACCATATTCAAACAACAATCAGATAGCAATGAGTGCGCAAGCAACAGAGAACAGTAAGCCATATAGATTCGGGCATAGAGAATTAGGCAATCTTGGTCAGACTCAGATCTGACCTTATTTTGGGGAAGGTTGTGTAACCCTAGGTGCGTGACCCAACAGAGATAATGCGGCAAGGTTGTGAGACAGGCAACACAACTGCTTGGAGCATCGTCTGCTAGGTGAAAGGGAACATACTAAAGTTACTGATGACAAGTCATTCAAAGCTTATCTGGATTATTGAGGGCATTGTTGAACAGAATCGTGGCAAACAATTTGTCATCATGAGAGTATAGCCTAAACAAAGTTTGTTGAAATGAGATTTTCATAACATTGAGCCTATGGGAAACTGCCAGGATCAAGAGACAAATTTTTTCCAATGAAAAAATTGTTATGAGATTTGTTGTAATGAGATTTTACTACGCTAAAATTACTTTTTCCATTTGTAGATAATGGAATATATCTTGGAAAATCATAAATGAATTTAAAATATGTCAAGCTGCTGCATGAATCCACATGAAGGTATACTCTTGGTAATCTCATTCTTATTTGCTGAAATTCACCTATAATTTTCGGGTTCTATATTCCATTGATGTGGTTAGCATGTGTATCTGAAAATGAAGATGAGGAGAGAACTACATTCTTGTTTTTAAAATGGTTGTACTGAAAAGTACAATGATGGATGTTACCAGCTGACATTGAATATGTTGCAAGCATTCAGCTACGGAACATTTCTAACAATAATTCCCCTGTTCAACTCATTCTTGGGATTCATTAAAAAGTAAAAGTCAAGAACTTCACTACTATATGTGCAAACAAAGTTAACAATGTGACAACCTAATTAGTAGATGGCTCTATGTATATGCCTATACGGGCATTTTCTGGTAATTGAATCCTGTTACAGCCAAAGTGGCTGTGTGTCTGGTTTTTTTGTAGTTTCAGGTAAGAATTTTTATTTTAGGACCTGCATTTTTAACAATTGAGATGTACTTGTACAATGTTGCGGATATTGCCTCTATGTAGAAATATATTTCTTGCTGAGAATGCGAACATAATTTACTTTATGGATGGGGCATTATGAATGAATGAATGCCCAAATCATTTTTTAAAATTTAGACGATCATGAAAGTCATCTGCTCACTTTTCTTCATGATTTTATTTCGAAGAATAATATTGAAATAACAGGCAATAGTTTTGTCCAGTGACTTTGAATTTAGCAGGTTGTAACTTTTTTGACGTCTTACTATTCTTTTGGTAAAGCTGTAACAGTTGCTTCCCTGACCGAATACAGTACTGTATTCCTTTGATTAGTGTTTTTGAGAGTAATGTTCTGTTTGTGTGGCAAATATGTTTTGTGTAGAGAACATGTCAAGCACTAATTTGTCAGATATTGAAAGCATTTGTGTGATTTTGATTCCCAACTCAAAGATCAATGTGCAAGTATTGTTCAAATCTAGCTGAAAATTCAAAATGGGTGAAAGTCCAATTCAATCTTATGATGGTATTAACATCATACATTTGTGTTTAACACAATATTTTCATCTGATTTTCAGCTTCAAATGCAGCTAACCTGATCTTCCACGGTGTATGATGAGGGAGTACCATTTGGAACACTTCTTAGATCATGTTCATTTGATGAATGAAGTCCTGACTGCATAACTTGACCAAACAATTTCAAGTCTTGAAAATATTGTCAAAAAACAGATAAGTCCCACCTAGTTTTTTTCAACAGAAACCTCAGTTGAACATGCAGAAAAATGCCCCCAGTAAATTAGTAAGTGAAAATTCTAAAAAAAAAAATGAAAATGATGGAAATGCTTGGAATATGCACAAATTATGTCCAAACCTGATGCTTGAGAAATTAGGAAGCAATTTGACGAATGGTTTGTTAGGCATTGTATTTTTGATATTAATCTGTTTAATTTTTTGTTGGAGGTGTGAAAGTGAATGGCGAAAGCCAGAAATTTACAGAGGTACAGTATAAAGATATAGAATGAGGAAAAGTTTTCTTTCTTAGCTGAGAAAAACTTTTAATGAGAACAGGACAGATGGGGCTTGAAAATGTAGCACCCTTTCATCAGTGTCCCAATGACACTTTTTGCGTCTATATGTTAGTGACTGAAACACTTCTCTGTCAAGAATTTGGCGACCCCTTGCTTGGGCGCCCATGTGTGGTGAACCCAGCGCCCCCGCTTTATCCGGGCCCTGTGTGCATGCATAAACCAAACTCAGCTTTTGACCATCAGTGAATAGATTGGTTGATGTGGTGAGGAATGGATGCATCAGCCAACCAAACTCAGCTATTGACCACAAGTTGATGGGTGGGGTGTTTTTCCAGGAATTCTGCGAGTCCGGAATGCTTGTTGCAGCATCAAACAAGAAATTCAGTCTTTATAATTTATATTGAGAGAAGCAAGACCTCAAATTAAACCCAAACTCATTAGTAAGGCTGAGTTTACAGAAACAGAGCAGGCCCTTTGCTGGGCTCCATTCTTTGGAGCTCACAGAGCATGGAGCTGGTGGAACTCAGTTCTGTCTGCTCCAGACCCTTACAGAACATTCTGTGTGACAGAACTGAGTTTAGTCATAACAGACCCTGTGAGTTGCAGTGGTGGAGCTCACATTGGCTGATGTGAGCTCCTGCCTACTCAGAACTCATGGGCTCAAGAAAAATAAAAATCAGTGTGTATGATGGAACTGAGTTCTGTAATAGCACACCCCACGAGTTTCAGCACGTCATGTGAGCTCTAGCATACTCGGAACTCATGGACTCAAGGGTCTGGAGTTCACAGAGCTCCAGAGCCAGACCTTCATAGAACTCAGTTTGAATAGACGGAGTAACTGAGTCCCATCAGGTCTGGAGCTGACAAGACTGATGAGTTCCTTATTTAGCTCTTGATGGAACTCCTCAGAATGATTCAGAAATCTGAGTCCAGGTAAGCAGTGGCTCCTACTGAGCAGAAAAGAAAAATCAGCAGTAGCTGCAGTTGATTGCATGAGCAACCAGCAGCAGCTCCTGCTGATAAGCTAAAACCAGTGGTAGCTGCTGATTCCATG